ATGATAATAAAAAGTGCTTGCAAACTGTAGTTGTTGAAAAAAAGTAAACTGTACTAGATGTTGTTATTGTTGTTTGATGTAAACAACAACTTTTTTCAGGCCACTAAACGTGCACAGTTCAAAATGTGTCCAAATTAAATGTCGAAGGTTTTGCACGATTGTCTCGAGACTTGCTACGGGCCTGCACAGTCGAATTGACAAATACTATCCGTCCGTACCTACCTCAACTAACCTCGACACAATCTTAGCTCTGACTCGAACGGGCACGAAATGCGCGCTTACCAAAGAAATCTTGGCCAGTCCAGCACAAACTGAAATTTGGGCCAAATTGTGTCGGATGTCTTTTAATTTTTGACAATAAATTTTACTGATCTCTTTAAACTGATTAAAGAAATGACCCTGGCACATGTACTAATCCATGCCATACTTAACAGCTTAATTTAAAGAGACTCATTTTATTCGACAGTGTTTACACTCCACTCAAATCAAATCTTTCAAACAAAAATACTATTTTAAGCGTTAGTTATTATGTTAAATTAAATTGAATTTATAGCATGCTTATATATTAATAACATTTTCTCTTCCTCACAACTCTATTGTAGAGACAACTTTAGTGCCATTTAAGTGCAATTAGTTGGCTAACAAGAAAAAAAAGCCTTAGAGATAAATTAATCACTTTTAAAAATTGTTCCACGATTGTGCACTGCAACATGTTCGGCATTTTAACAAACTCCAAATCGATTGCAAAGTTCAAAACATGCGGCAAAAATGCAACAACATGAGGCAAAATATATATATATATATATATATGAATTGTATAAAAAATCCCAAACGATTGACAAATGCGAATCATCTCAAAAGTAGAGCACATGCAATGAGCGATTGCTCACAAATTATAGACCTGCTGCATATTTGTCTATAAACAAAAAATTGCCCGACTCCTCGATTAAATGGCAAATGACAAATGCTTTGCCGAAGCCAATAAATCGCTGATGTCCAAATTAAAGCCACATTTTTTACTCCTCTTAAGTATGCAAACTTAGCATTTTAAATAATGTTAAAGACAACTTAGCACGAGCAATAAATATATTTTGATTTTAATGCCACACGCGACTTGAATACCCTATTTTATAACGATAACAAAAATCAAGCATACAAAATAAATATATCAGATAATTAGCAACAAGTTATTTAGGAATTTTAGTATTTATTAATTTTAAAATATATTCAATTTATTATCAAAATATTTTGTTTAACTAATCTGTATGATTTAGTCAATATTTGACCCATCGAACATATCGCTAAATATATTACAGCGCGTCGAACACATATTTTACAGCGTATCTCTGAGTAAAAAAAATACCTTAGCAATGCTCATTCTTAATTACCGCTCAATAAACAATGAATACATTTTTTGGCACACAATTTATGGGTCCACGACACGTAAAACACGTTAAGTGCTTTTTAAACGAAACTAAGCAATGCCTTGTATGACATATAATAAATGCTGCACGGAATGTGTAACGACTTTACAGATTAACTGAAATCTCCAAACTAGCTACTAACCATCTAAGCCATCCATGTCTTGTAATAAAATAGCCTATCAAGACTTGCAAATAAATATTTTGATGCTAAGCTATGCCCAATTATCCTTAATTTCTTAAATCATAACTGATTATCGTAGGCATATTATTTTGATCCTTGATTCCGTAAAAATCTGTTCAGAGTTACTTAGGAATATTATGTTTGTTTTAGTCAAATTCTAACCGATAAATTAAAAAAAATAAATCGTTATTATATAGAAAGAAGAATAAAAGAGGAGCAGGCCGTAAATATGCAACACATTCGCCATTCATTGTTCATTTCATTTGCATTTCGAGCATCATGTTATATAATACATCTGCCAAAAGAAATGATGAAGAATAAAACGAGCCAAATTTTGAGTATAAAATTAAAACAAAAACGAAAATTAAAAACAAAATGATATAAATAAAAAAAAAACAAAATCATTTTTTATAACATTAAATTTGTTTGTCTTTAGAACTGGTTCACCTTAACGCCGCCGTCGGGCATTAATTATAAACAACGTTTGGCCGTAGACAACTTTTTCTCAGATCTTAACAACATATGCCGAATATAATATGAATCTAACTTTGATTAGCTAATGGCCCGTTGATATTTTATGCAAATGCCGTGCTCTGCATTTGGACAGAGCCTGACTACATACATAATTGGATGTTTGCATAATCCAATAGACGTCATTAGAATCTCCATAAATTTAACTCGAACATAAATAAAAACTAAAAGAACAAACAAAAAAAACACATTTGCAAAATGCAAAATAATTTTTGAAAATAAAAAGTTTTGTTAATTTGATTGTCAGCCTTTTGTCAATATTCATTGCATTTGTTATGCGATCACAAAATTTATTTTTTTTTTTTTTTCGTTTTTCTTTTTTCATGGGCGTGTAAGCATATATGCTACACAGAAATGCATTAGTAGGCAAACTCTATTTTATATATATAAAGCTACCATTTGCATAATATTTTGGAGAATTTTTTTCATTATATTTTGTTATTTCATTTTTATTTTGAATTTCTTCTTTTTATTAAACTAGAATGTTGGGTTTGTGTTTTTGGTGCTGTTTACCAATATGTTGGCACGTGTACGAAATGAAAGTTAACTAAACAAACATCAGATTGAAAATATAACAAGAAGAAGCTGCGAACGCACTTAAACTTGAACTTGAATTTAATGTTGGGCCTTAACCGCTATGTTTCCCTTCACTTTGCTCGTTTATTATTATTAAAGACATCTACAATCTACAGTTTAGTTTTTTCTTTTAACTGATGCTTCTTGTTTCTTTCGATAGTTTCAATGGTTGTTTTTGGGGTCATCTGCGCGTTTGCAGAGTTCTTTGTGGTGGCCACAGAAACGAAGCGAACAAAGGCCGCATTTGAGATCTGTACGATAATGTGGTTCAAACTCTGCCTAATGATAATGATAATGATAATGCTGATGCTGATGACAGTGTACGACCTTCGCCTTCACACTGCACATCACAATGCACAGCATTATAATAGACCACAATCTGATCTAATGAAATATATATATATATATGTATATAAGTATATATATGTAGACGTATATCTAATGTTTCTGTTCTGCCCTCCGCTCGTTGTTCACACGTTCCATTTACATGGCCATTGGTCGATTCGACTCGTAGTGCCCATTGATTTAGCTATATATATACACTGTGAGTATTTCCTATGCACATTAAAATGTCAAATTACACACACATACACACACACACACACAGCAAACATTCAATCATTGCACCCACAATACAAATTTACTTTGCCGAAAATCTGTAAGATCAAAAGTTCAGTCACGAAGCCCCAACCGAACCCAAGCCAAGTAGAACTCGCAGACCTAGTGGCGCATGTTTTTTTTCGGAAAAATTACACAAGAAAATTTACTTGGCTTGTGGAAAATGCAACTGAATTCGTTCAACGCCAAATAGCAAAGAGTGTGGCTAATGCACATCTAGCCTTTCGGGCTTTTTAAAGAAGCAAAGGTTTCTTGTATTGTGATTTTAGTAGAATTTTTTTTTTATTTTCTGCCAATAATTACGCTATTCCATTATGGTACTAAGTATATAAAAAAGTGAAAGGAGATGCTTATTGTTCTTCGAGATGATATTAAAGTATTAAATAACACTTTCTATTCATTTTCTTTTATATTTCCGTTCTAATTTTGTTTATTTTAATATAATAATAATTCGAAATTATGCAAATTTTAAATTCAGGCCACAAAAAGGTAATTAAATGTTTATAAATAATATAAAGAATACCACAGCTTTGAAAAGACTATACTCAAAAGTATTCTAAAACGCGAGTCCATAGAAAACAATGTTTTCGGACATTCATTACAATTACTGTATAAATTTGTCGAATAAAATGAGGTGTGTCAGAATAAATATTGCATCGTAGCTTCCAATTGCGAGTTCAATTAGCAATTTAAAGAAATTTCTAATAACAATTTGATCCAATAGTATAATTCAGTGATTGGAAGTTCCTATTTAAACAATCAAATAAATTAATATAGGTCTAATGACAATTGAGTCCAGTGAAAGGATTCATTAAATAGGAATTTTTATATTCCCTCAGTTGTTTATTTTTTCATCTCTTTTATATTATTATTTATTAGTTTCTTTTTATATATTTTTTAATTTCCTCCAGTTTATTTTTTCTATCTTTAATGTTATATAACATATTGTTTCGTTTTATTTATTTTTTGCTTTATTTAATTGTGATACAAAATGCATTTAACTGTTATTTGAATTTATTTTTATAAATTACGAATTATTTGTTAAATTTTGTTTTATACTTTTCAATTTAATTTTTTGTTTATGCTTTTTTTAATTTTTTTTTTTTTTTATTGAATTTGTTTGCATTTTTGTATTATTTAAGTTTATATTTTTTGTTTAATCGAAGTTAGATTTAACTTTCGAAAGTCTATCTTTTTCAACACTAGAGTTTAACAACTCGTACGCCATGGAACTTTTTTACTATCTAGTGCCCCCAGTTGTCTACTAAGTACTTGGTACCATTAACGGTTAGCCGAGCTGCGAACTGCTGTCAAGTCACACCGACAGGCACTAACACACACGCAGGGCAGATCACACGCATTGCTCATATGTACACGTACAGTGTCCGTGTGAACTGAAAGCTTTTTATGCACTCAACATTTCCTTACGCACAGTGAGACGCTCAAATAGAGAGGCAGAGAGTGAGATAGAGAGTGAGAGAGTGAGCGAGCTTTTGGGCTGCTGCTGCTGCTGCTGGCTGGTGGCTGCGTCAAAGATCGACGTCGACAGACACCAACAAGAGCATCAACCATGGTCGGCATTGGCATATAAAAGCTCGCAATGTCTGTGCAAAATTATTCAGTTAACAGTTGCGGGTTGGTTGAGACATACAAACCCCGGCAAAAGTTGAGTGCGCCTGTCTAGAAGTTAAAACAAAGTGCAAAATGAAATCCATGGTATGTTGTGTTCAAGCGTACTACAAAAAATAAATCTAAAGCAAACCAATCAGCTAAAAGCGATTCAAGTTAAAAGTTCTTCAAGTGTCTGCATTATATCATCATAACTATATCTGACTATCATCTCGCTATGCAATGGACATTTTCGTGCTTCGAAAAACTATAATTTTGTCCATCAAGTGTACATTAAAAAAAATATAGAATTTGAAGAAATCTCTAGAGTTTTTACTTTAAAAAATATAGAATTTGAAGAAGTCTCTAGAGTTTATATGAGCTGCATGAAATAACTTTATATATATTATATAATTAAAAAAATATTACTAATGTAAAAATTAAAATCTATAAATTTATCTTTAAATGAGAAGCTTTAAGCATAGCAAAAAGTAGGCAATTAAAATATGAAATAAATTCTAAAGTTTTCTTGAATAGATCACGGCAGTAAATATTTTTAAAAAACTAATTGAATTAGAATTTGGTTTTAAAAATCGTCTTTTTTGAATATAAAAATATTTTTAATATATTTTGATAATAGGATATAGAACTAAAGAAAATAAATTAGAAAATATTTAACTAAGCCAAGAGTCGCGGTCTAATTTATAAATGTTTTTGGTTTAAAGTCTACAATTTTTTTTATAAAGCTCTTGACACTAAAGCTAACATTTATTAATTTCCTAGTTTAATTTGTAACAGTAGCCAAAAAATATAGTTTAATGAGAAAAAAAACTCGCATGTAAGCGCATAGCAAACATTACGTATACGCCCCTTGGTAAGCACTGCGCAAGTTCTGTCGCATTACGTATGCGCCGCGTGGCCAATGAGTGGAGCTACCATTGAACTTGGCGCGCAGCCAAACGCATTTACGAAATTGCTTAATTGTCATATTTGAAAAAATTATGGAGTGGCGGCTGGCGGAAGTGCCGCCAAGTTATATAATAGCATAATAGTTGCAGCGATCGAGCGATCGAACGATTAACACGGCTAACCCACTTTACTTTGGTCACACTTTGCATTGCAGCTCGTTTTTGGCCTGTTGGCTATGTGCGTGTTGGCGGCCACCGCTAGCGAGGAGGCACCCAAGAAAGTTGAGGCCGCTGAGCCCGCCGCTGAGGCCAGCGCGACAGCTGAGAAGAAGCAGGAGAAACGCGGTATTGGCTATTCCGGCTATGGCTATGGCGGTTCCAGCTATGGCGGCTCCAGCTATGGCGGCTCCAGCTATGGTGCCTCCGGTCTTGGTGGCGGTGCCATTCTGAGCACTGGCCATGGTGCCATTGGAGGACCCGTTGTCTCTCAGCTGCCCACACAGGTGCACACTAACACCGTGGTGAGAACCGTCCAGGTGCCCTATCAGGTGGAGCGTCATGTGCCTTATCCCGTTGAGAAGACCGTCACCTATCCCGTCAAGGTGCCCGTGCCACAGCCCTACCCCGTGGAGAAGGTTGTCCAGTATCCCGTGAAGGAGATCGTTAAGGTGCCCGTCCATGTGCCACAGCCCTACCCGGTTGAGAAGGTCGTGAAGGTGCCAGTCAAGATCCCAGTCGATCGTCCCTACACCGTGCATGTGCCCAAGCCATACCCCGTGCCCGTTGAGAAGCCAGTGCCCTATACCGTTGAGAAGCGCGTCATCCAGAAGGTGCCCGTCCATGTGGACCGCCCAGTGCCCTATCAGGTGAAAGTGCCCGTCAATGTGCACGTTGAGAGCCATGTCCAGCCCGCCATCACTGTCACCCACACCGTCACCAAGACCGAGGGTGCACCCATTGTCAGCGCACCAATTGCTAGCGGTTACTCCGGCATCTCTGCTCACGGCGTCTCTGGACCCGCCATTGCTGTCGGCCATGGCATCTCCTCGTATGGCGGTCATGGCATCATCTCCGGACACGGCATCTCTGGCCATGGCATCTCTGGCCACGGTGTCTCCTCGTACGGCACCTCCGGACACGGCGGTTACCTCCACAAAAAGTAGATCAATTTATCGCTAACGAGGGCCAAATCAGCTTATGAATTCGGGTAAAGGCGTACGCATCAACATCAATGTCGAAATTTTCCAATATCCACATGAAAAACAAAACCCAACTGGAATTACCCCCAACCCGCAACCCTCAAAGTACGACTTACATTTAGTTTTAGTTTGTGATACCAACCGAAATTCTAGGAGGAAGCAACAATCGTTAACGGGAAGATCATCAAATGCGGCATTTCGATGAGTGGTTCCCAGGACGGAACACTCTGGAAACTTGCCAGCAACTGCCCCCTTAAGAAAAACAAAAGTAACAAATCAAAGCCGCATTCGCTTGTCCCGCTTGTCTATTGTGTCACCCGCCTCCTCTAATGTGCAGTTCTTTCTAGACAGGAAAAACGAACAAACAACAACAACAAGAGAAAACACCTGAATCTATGACTTTTTCCCGTTAATTTCTATTCTATGAAATTTTTGTACATATTTAAATAATGTAAATAAAAAGAATTTAAAACAAAAATTTGCCTTTTTTTTAAAGAGATGAAATAAAATTGTCAAGTAATATTTTTAGTGGGTTTATCAATGAAATCTGGCTATAAGTATCATAAATTTATTAGGGAATCTCATGATATAAAATTAATTCTCAGTAGCGCATATCCAGCAGACTTCAATTCAAGAAAATATTACAGCTTGCCCAAAAAATATAATTACAATCTTCCATAGTTAATAATGAGACAACTTTAGGGGAAGTTTGCCAAGATTTATGTAAAATTTAATTTGATCTAAATTGTGACTACGAACATTTTTGCTAATGACAGCATTATAATTAATCTATTAAGGTCTGATTAAATTCAAAGTTATATTTAATAGTCAAGTATTATAAAAAATTTCTTTCACATTTTTTTTAGAAGAAATTCTAAATTTTAGGGATCCACAATGATTTTATAAAAAAATGTTCTTATAAGTAAGTAGAAAAACTTGTTGCTAAACTGGATCGTCTAGAAAACCGCCAAAATATAGTCACATGACATGCAATTTTTGGAAATAGAAATACTTATAAGAATTCAATACCACATTTTTTCAATATAAAGCAATCCTCGCAATTAAACACTTTTTGTAAAAATTTCCTGTTGAATTTAGGCTTTAAATTTTATAATTATTTGAATTAAAATAATTGAAATCAATTTTATATTAATTCTCTTAAATTTTATAAAAATAATTAACGAGAAATGCCTTATAGATATTCTCTTAGTGAAGTTCATAAATGCTGAATTCGATGAAAATATCTTGGAAAACAGAGCATTTTCCTATATAGGAAGCCACATTTCGACCGATGGTTTCCTTATGCTATATGATATTGTAGTATTGATGCTGATCTAGAATATATATATACCTTTCATGACAAAATTATAATACCCTCTACAAGGGTATAAAAATAGTAAAGAAGGCAATTTCTTATAAAGGTCAGTTGTCAAAACCTCTTCAACGTATTACACTTTATATAGTAAAATCAAAAGCTTCAATTGCGCTCATAAGCTTAAAAACACAGACTTGCGTTTAAAGTTAAGAAAGCTTTTATTTTTGGTAACAACTGTACGCCAGAGCTTTAATGCTTTAATGCAAGCTGAGCTTAATTTGTATTTGCCCGCATGATAGGTGTACAAAGTATGCTAGAAATTTTATATAAATTATAGATATATAGCACATTTTCCAATCTTTGAGCCCAAAACTATGCAACCTATTCTAAGAGAAAATATAAAGTGCTGTAGTATTTATTCTTCTTAGATAAAAGTAAAGATTCACGCCCGTTCATTAAGCTATGGCAAAACTGCCCAAGGTTGAGCTAGATACAAATACAAGAAAAAAGTGAGTGGAAAAGCAAAAATATGTGCCGGGCAATGCCGAGCAATAAACTATATAATTTATTATTCTTTTGATATATTAAAATTTATCATCTTCCGGGAAATAACAATATTCAGTTGTGTTCTAAGCGCGTTGCAGTAAAGTTCGTATTCTACAGAAACCAAATTTTGATGCGAGAATGTGGAAATTTGTGTTAATATCTGTGCTCAGCCTGCTGCCATGTGCGCTGCTTCAAGATAATGATAATGAAGACAATCAAACTGAAGATCCACATACCACACAAATTTATCAAGCAAGCGACTCACATCTATGCACAGAACATGAGGTAATCTTCTATACGTTAATGGAGCCAACACCGTTGCGGGAGTATGGTTTTTTTGCCGATCACTTTAGGCGGGCGGGAATTCGGGGATCAATGCGTAGAGTGGTAAGTTCAAGAAGTTCAAGAAGCAGCCGATAAGACTTATAGGCTAATGCTCTAACGTCATAATATACAGACCAAGACCAGATTGGAGCCCCGTCCAGTTTGCTGTCCGGGCTACCTAAGAGCCTACGATAATAGCTGCCAGCCTGTGTCGACGACAACGGAGATCTACACAGAGTTAACCGAGGGCTCGACTCTGACTGTGCCTGTGTCCAGTACAGATAAAAGCTTATCGGATGCCGCAGACAAGCAGTCGTTTAAGCCTAAGTCCTGGCTTATGTACGGCACTGTGCTCATATTGATCTTGCTAGCCCTGGGAGTATGCATGTATAGTTTCTACTATATCAAGCAAAGGAAAGATAAGAGAAATGAAAACGGCAATGAAATTGAAGAGCACTCTGCTCTGTTTTGCGAATAAGTCACAAATTATGTATGGGCTATAGAAATTCAATAAATTTTCCAACCTTCATTTAATCCATTCTACATATTGAACTTATGTTAAGAGTGAGTGAATAAATCCAAGAATACTAAAGAAAACTTGTATACAAATTTATCACTTTTTCTAAAAATTCGTCATATAAGAAACCGCGTAATAAAAATAATCCCTCCCTTCTTTATCTTGCCTATATGCTTATGGGCCAGCGTATAAATATACTAAAGTATACTATACAAATATATTTATCGTCTTTCTGCTTAAAATTTGGTGATATGAAGAATATATAATTTTAAAAAAACTGAGATCCGCTACAAGCTGAATGTGTAACTAAATTTTAGTTTAGTTTTGTGCGCACTCGATTAATCATCGTGGTTTCAAAATGTGGAAAATTGTATTCCTGAGTTTTCTCAGTCTCTACGTACAGCTGGCGACCTCTGTCAAAGATCCACATTTGTGCATCAAAAATGTGGAAGTTTCTTACACTGTAACGGAACGTGCTTCCCTGGAGAGCTATGGCGAGTTTGCAAATCTATTAAAGATGCTAAATGTGCCAGGCGAAATGCGCACCATTGTATGTACATAATAGTTACATTCAATTTCTTTGTGCTGTTTATAATTTAACCAATCAAATATGCAGCAAAAAACCAAATTGGAAGCACGTGAGGAATGCTGTGAAGGCTACGAACGCTCGACTAAAGCTGATGAGGGCTGCCAACCTGTGCCAACTGTGCTCCAGGATGAGCCGAGCTCAACTGTGTCTGTTATCGATAACAATCCGATTGTGCCTCTGGCCATATCGAATAGTTCTAAACTCAGCTACCGCTGTTGCAAAATTGAGCTAATCCTTATATGTGCAATTGTACATATCTTCACGCGTTTGTAAAGAGATATGTCGCATATATAAATATAAATATTGTTATCATCTAAATGTGCATGAATACAATCAAAGTATGACTCAAATCTGTCTGGTTTTATGTAAATACATTCAGATTTTATTTTTGCCCAAGACATATGTACGAGGCCTGACCAATACAAAAAAAGACATAATACAATTTCTACAATCATCTTAAAGTGACACTAGATCGTAGGTCCAAGTGCCTGCGTGTTCCTATATAAACATTCTTATCAGGTGTCTTATCAAGCAATGTTCCCTGCCTTGAAGAAGCCTTCTAAGAAACTCGTAATGTGATACTCGTAAATAATATTTTATTTTTTTAGAATACCCTGTAGCAAGAATTTAAGTAGAAACAAGTAAGGGGATCTAGTCGGGAGCTCCCGACTAGGGGATACCCTAAACCCTCTTCTTCCAACATCATATATATATATATATATATATATATATATATATATATATATTCTATTTTAGAAGCTATATGTCAAGATTGTTGACTCTAGCTCTTATTATTTACCAAAATTGCCCAAAAACAGGATATCGATTATCGGAATCTGCGCGGGAACTAGGAGCATCTACATTTGAAATTTCAAGTCTCTAGCTCTTATAGGTTCTGAGATCCTTGCGTTCATACATACGGATGGACGGACGGACGGCCAGACAGACAGACGGACATGGCTAGATCGACTCGGCTATTTGTGCTGATCAAGAATATATACACTTTACGGGGTCGGAGATGCTTCCTTCTGCCTGTTACATACATTTGGCTTCCGCACAAATACAATATACCCTTATACCTATTTTTAATGGGTTCAGGGTATAAAAATATATATTTAAATTGCAGCCGATGAGCTGAATTTTTTTTGGAACATAAAAGTTCAAATTGTTGAACTGGACATTGCGATAAGGTTGGTTACATATATAAGCATTATCAGAAGAGTGTCCGTTATTAATTAAAGATTGTGCTGTGGGACCTTTAAGAAGATTCGATTCAGCAGCACAATCTTACTTGAGTTTTAAAAGTACGGCTACACGGCTGAGAAATTTTTTGCTATTTGCGAAAGCCTCTCACCATGGAAAGTACTCGGGGTGCAATTTTTTTTATTTGTTTAATTACTGCGGCATGCTGTACGCCTGTCATGCAGAAGGACAGCAAGAACCCGTATAATAATACGTGTTTGAAGGAAAATTTCGAAAGGGACAGTGAACTGGAAAATATATTGGAACCACTTATAAATAACCTACTTGAGCTAGAAGTAAGATGAATTAAAACATTCAATTAATACCCTGTATCCATTTGAAATGCATATATAACAGCAACCGTAATGCAATAAATATATATCATCTGTAATAAGATGACTCTCTGATGTTTGATGACTCTCCTGATCTCTCCTAAATTGTTAAATCCAGTCCCGGATTTTGAGCATATTCCTGACTTTATAAGCAAGATGCTGCATACAAAACAAATTCAAGAATATTACACATGTTATGCACAATTTCAAATTAATCAGATTATACAGACAGACGTTATTAGAGAATTAATCTTCGAGAGTGTATAACCCAGGTAAGAGGATATAGGGCAAACTGCCAACTGCTTGGTAGAGGGTGTATTTTAGTCGGTCGCTTTCGACTAGAGAATTCATACATTATACAACACCTTCTCTACACAGTTTGAGTATGAATGCTGTCCCGGATATGTTGGAACGATTGACGATTGCAAGCCCGTTTGCTCTGTGGAATGTGCTAACAATAAGTACTGCTCTGCTCCAGAACACTGTGAATGCGTAGAGGGCTTTAAGATGTCCTTAAGTGGAGACTGCCATCCGGCAGAAAGCAAGGAAATCGAAGTCAAACCTAGTGAGGATTGCTATGTGGAAGATCCCTGCTTGCCTAAGGATCCGAATTTATGCACAAGGGAAGTGCCATACACTGGCGAACAGCAACCGGAGTACTATATATTAAGAGAAGAGTTTGAGAAATTAAATATTCCATTTCCCAACATTCTGTCTGTAAGTAAGAAAATTATTTTTGTATTGATATCGATTACCCTATGGACCTATAGACCAAAATTGAAAGATATTGCTGCGACGGCTACGGAAAGCAAACCGACGATGAGCTCTGCCAACCCGTGTGTCAGCCCAACTGTGGTGCAAATGGCTACTGCAAGGCACCAAACAAATGTGCGTGCCAGGAAAACTACCACATGGGAGTAGAAGGACAGTGTGTAGAGAATTTCAAAGCTGATGATCCGCATGTGTGCAGCAAAAATGTGGTAAAAGTTAACCACTTTAAACGTTACCCCTAACTATATAAACTCTATACCCTGCAGAGCACAACTGAGGTAAAAATCTACTGCTGTGATGGCTATGAACAAAATGCGCTTGGCGCACTCTGCCTGCCCAAATGCAGCCAAGGATGTGGCCGTAACTGCCGTTGTGTGCAACCTGAGGTGTGCGAATGTGAAGAGGCTGACACCCACTGTCTGTGTGAGGCAGGCTATGCCAAGGGCAAATCCGGACACTGCGAACCTCTCTGTGCAGGTGGTTGTCCCGTGCACAGCAGATGCCTTTTGTACGGACTATGTCAGTGCCTTGAGGGCTACACAAACAGCAGCGGCAACTGCGAGCCCGATTGCCTGGGGGACATGCCAGAACACAGTAAGTGTGTACGTCCAGGCGAATGGGAATGCGATTTGGGCTACATCAAGCTTCCCGATGCCAATGGGCAGAGCTACACCTGTCAGCCGCATTGTAAGCAGAGCTGCTCCACCTATGGCAAGTGTGTGGAACCCAATGTGTGCGATTGCCTGCCTGGCTTTAAGGCCATTCTTCTTGGCCAGGACCCAGAGACCAAACAATTCGTTGAGGAGTGCCGATCAGTTACATTGACCGACTCTTTTCCATATCCATATGAGCAATACACAACTGAAGCTTCAAATGACCAAATACTGACCACATAGGGTCCACTAGCTGGATAATATACATGAATACATATTTAACACCTAATTAGCCCTTTTGCACTTTGTTTGCCGCATTTAATAACAAAAACAATTTACTTGGACAATTTCAATTTTTATAATAAAACGAGAAAGAAAGGCTATCTTCGGCACGCCGAAGATCTAATACCCTTGCAGACCCAACCTTTTCATGATGCTTATAGTGCTTTGCCCGTATCTAAGAAGCACAGGGAAAAGAGTTAATGCCGAGTTTGATCAAGATATCTTGATAAACAAAAAAGGTTTTTAAAAAAAAAATCAATTTTCGACTGATATATGATATGGCAGATATAGAAGTCCGATCTTAATAGGATTTTGCATGTATATGGGGAGCTTAGTAAAACTAATAAATTTCGAGTTTGGTCAAGATATCTTGATAAAAAAATGTTTTTTTTTTATGCAAAAACTTAATTTTCGACCGATCGTTCCTATGGCAGCTATATGATATAGTGGTTCGATCCAGCTGGTTTTGACATATGTACTGCGTGCAACAGAAACAGGGAATTCTGCAAAGTTTCATTAAGATAGGGACTAGTTCGCATAGAAACAGACAGACGGATGCTGATCAAGAATATATATACTTTATGGGGTCGGAGACGACTCCTTCTCTGCGCTACACATTTCACGACAAAATTATAATAAATCTTTCATATTCTATGTTTTTTCTTCAAACAACTAAATGAAATAGTTATACAATTGTTCGTATACATTCTAAATCGTGCTCAACCAAATTTTAAACGTCTTTGCTGACCTATATTTTACAAAATTTTTTTTTATACCCTGAACCCATTAAAAATGGGTATAAGGGTATATTGTATTTGTGCGAAAGCCGAATGTAAGTAACAGGCAGAAGGAAGCATCTCCGACCCCATAAAGTATATATATTCTTGATCAGCACCAATAGCCGAGTCGATCTAGCCATGTCCGTCTGTCTGTCCGTCCGTCCGTCCGTATGTATGAACGCAAGGATCTCAGAACCTATAAGAGCTAGAGACTTGAAATTTTAGATGTAGATGCTTCTAGTTCCCGCAGATCGAGTTTGTTTCCGATAATCGATAGCTTGCTCCGTTTCCAAGCAATCGATACAAATCTATATCGATATCCTGTTTTTTGGGCAATTTTGGTAAATAATAAGAGCTAGAGTCACCAAACTTGACATATAGCTTCTAAATTAGAATATATATATGCATTTGATGTTGGAAGAAGAGGGTTCAGGGCATCCCCTAGTCGGGAGCTCCCGACTAGAACCTCTTACTTGTTTAAATTTATTAAAGTTCAAACATTGCAAACTTAATACAACTTTTAGGCAACTAATGCTAATCAATTAGTAAAAAACCGAGAGCAAAATAAAAGTGGACTACCTTCTTATACACGCACACATTTATACACATTCACTCACGCTCACACACGCACACTCACATTTACACACTCACATTAACTTTTGCACATAATCTGGAATACTTAAGAGCAATTTTGCCCGAGTGGCGGGCAAAATCAACAAGCGAAAAGCGTACAAATTATGCAAGACTTAATGCAGTTGAGAGCATTGAAAGTAAGCGCAAAATAAACTGAGAGATCAACGCCCAAATGCAGCATAATTAATTGGAATGACAAATGGTGTCGAACAAGAAAACAACAAAAATTTCAAGTTCGTTGCCTTAGTCTTTCGTTTTTTTATAGTGGGCAGCCGCAAGAACCTGTTGCCAGTTGACCAACGCACAACATTGATCTTGTACTAAGCTAACGCGAATTGAACCCAGTATGTGTGATTGTGTGTGCGTGTGTGTGTGTGTGGCATGTGGCAAACGGAGAATGGCACGACCCAAAAACAAAAGCACGAACAAGCCAGAGCCAAAGCAAAGTGAATGCAGCAAATGCGACGCGCAGCCGCAATCAATTAGCGCTATGCGTCGACGTCGACGCCGACATCGGCTGCCTGCCAAGCTGCCACATGTGGCGGTTGCGTCATGGCGCCAAGCAGACCGTCTAGCGGTAATTGACTTGCAATTTCTTTTGCAGCAACTTTTCGGTTGCAAAGAAATTTACCAAATATGTTG